TGTTTATTCGTAACTATTTAACTACAATCGATGCCCATCTTCCGAAAATTTGGCGATACAAAAAAAAGTAAGCCGTGGCCGATTGTTACGACCAATAGTATTTTACCTTATACTTTCGGCAAAATCAGGCTAACCGCCCACGAATCCATTCTCATCTTGCTCAGGCGACCGCCTTTCACTAACATTGTACCGTCAGGCCAATCCTCAGTGCATTTCGCGACCTATGTTTAAAAATGGTATGCTTTTCGTATACGAAGAATATGCATTTTTTGAGACATATAATATAATAAAATATATTAGTGCCTAAGTTGCAAAAATGTCTTGCCAGTATGGGTTCTACAAGATTTCACACCCACCACGGCCTAGACCTTAGCCCTTAAGAGCTCGGCTCATGCCATGCTTTAAGAAGAATGCATGAAGCTTCGTAACATCGCATCTTTGCGGACGCTCTAGTCTCGGCTTATGGGTTGTTTTTGATAGGTTGGAATATGCTAAAACTCTTTCTCATGATTGTTTTCCCTTTTTTGGCAGCCACTTAACCGTAATTGCTAGCTTAGATTAGCGATTTGGGGGTTAAACCCCTGGATCATGTTAAAATTAAATGGGAAACCACTCCCTATTCGCCAAAACACCATTCCAAAACCCCAATCCAAACCAACAATTCAGGCATTGTGCCACGCGCTTTCCGATAAGTGTGTGTATCCGTGGCTGGTCTTTGGTGTGACCTTATCGGGCCGTTCTCAGCAACGCAAGCCTCCTTTTCCCGGCGCATCTAAGAGCGACCAACCCGGCCCTCAGTGCATCTCGCGACCTGTGTCTAGAGAACGGTATGTATTTCGCATGCGTAGGGTGTAAATTTTTGATACATATGATTAAAAAAATATTGGCGCCCAAATTGCAAAAGATGTCTTGCCAGCGCGGACTCTATAAGATTTGTTCTGTTCTTAGCACACCCACCACGGCCTGGACCTTGGCCCCTAAGAGCTCGGCTCACGCGATGCTTCGGAAAGAGTGCATGAAGCTTCGTGACATCGCGTCTTTGCGGACGCTCTAGTCTTGGTTTGTGGATTGTTTTTGAAGGGTTAAAATATGCTGGATTTTTTTCTCATAATTGCTTTCCCTTTCTTAGTACGCGTCTCAATTTAACCGTAATTGCTGGTTTGGATTGGCGGTTTGGGGATTAAACCCCTGGATCATGTTGAAGTTAAGTGGGAAACAATGCAGAGATCGTACCACACGCTTTCCGATGAGTATGTATTATGTCTCTGTGTCCGTGGCTGGTCTTTGGTGTGACCTTACCGGGCCGTCCTCAGCAAGGCCTCTTTTTCCCGGCGCATCTGAGAGCGACCAACCCGGCCCTCAGTGCATCTCGCGACCTGTGTTTGGAGGAACGGCATGTCTTTCGCATACGAAGAGTGTACACTTTTGATACATATGATAAAATATGTTGTTGCCTAAGTTGCAAAAGATGTCTTGCCAGCGCGGACTCTATAAGATTTGTTCTGTTCTTAGCACACCCACCACGGCCTGGACCTTGGCCCCTAAGAGCTCGGCTCACGCCATGCTTCGGAAAGAGTGCATGAAGCTTCGTGACATCGCGTCTTTGCGGACGCTCTAGTCTTGGTTTGTGGAGTGTTCTTGAAGGGTTAAAATATGCTGGAATTCTTGCTCATGATCGCTTTCCCTTTTGTGGCACCCGTCTCAACTTAACCATAATTGCTGGTTTGGATTGGCGGTTTGGGGATTAAACCCCTGGATCATGTTGAAGTTAAATGATAAAAACCGCTCCCTATTCGCCAAAACACCACTCCAAAACCCCAATCCAAACCAATAAGTGCCACGCGCTTTCCGATGAGTGTGTATTATGTCTCTGTGTCCGTGGCTGGTCTTTGGTGACCTTATCGGGCCGTCCTCAGCAAGGCCTCTTTTCCCGGCGCATCTGAGAGCGACCAGCCCGGCCCTCAATGCATCTCGCGACCTGTGTTTAGAGAACGGCATGCATTTCGAACGCGAAGAGTGTAGATGTTTTGATACATATGATAAAATATGTTGGTGCCTGAGTTGCAAAAGATGTCTTGCCAGCGCGGACTCTATAAGATTTGCTCTGTTCTTGGCACACCCACCACGGCCTGGACCTTGGCCCCTGAGAGCTCGGCTCATGCGATGCTTTGGAAAGAGTGCATGAAACTTTGTGATATCGCGTCTTTGCGGACGCTCTGGTCTTGGTTTGAGGATTGTTTTTGATGGGTTAAAATATGCTGGAACTCTTTCTCATAATTACTTTCCTGTTTTTGGCACCCGCCTCAACTTACGCCTAAGTGTTGGTTTGGATTGGCGGTTTGGGGATTGAACCCCTGGCTTATGATGAAATTACATGGGAAACCACCCCCTAACCTCCAAAAACCCCAATCCAAACTAACAATTGGGAGATCGTGCCATGCGCTTTCCGATGAGTGTGTATCGTGTCTCTGTGTTGGTGGCTGGTCTTTGGTGTGACCTTATCGAGCCGCCCTCAATAACGTCTTTTTCTAGGCGCATCTGAGAGCGACCAACCCGACACTCAGTGCATCTCGCGACCTGTGCTTGGAAAACGGCATGCTTTTCGCATGCGAAGAGTGTTGAAATTATTTGATACATATACTAAAATATATTAGTGCTTGAGTTGCAAAAAATGTCTTGCCGGCGTAAGCTCTACAATATTTGCTCTATTCTTGGCACACCCACCACGGCCTAGACCTTGGCCCCTGAGAGCTTGGCTCATGCGATATTGCATCAAATTTTCCAGATATTGTTTGACCGCCAAGGGAATCTTTTCACAAATCCGTATCAGGCACGGAAAATGCTGGCGGAGTTAGAGGCAAAGCTGCGGGCGTCTTCCCCAAATAGAAAGCCAATCCGGAGGGCTATGGCCTTAGCCGCTTCATAAGGGTTTATTTCTGGAAGACTCAAGCTGTTTTTGGCAGAAACATTTCTGTGGCTCCATAACGCGGTTAGTAATGCATATTCACATGTGACAAGTAGTTCCTCACTTCCTGAGTTCCTTGCTAGTTTTAATGGCTTCTTTAATTATTTCCTTGGTAAATGCCAGGAATCACTGGATATGACCAAGATTAAAGCTGGCTCATTAATTTGACCCAGGTAACTCAAACCTTTGTCTATTTACTCTATAAAACGAAATCGTGATACTCGATCGTCGCACTTGCGCGCGTTTTCCCGGACCATCCCGGACCGATTTTCCGAAAAAAATCCCGGATATTTCGGAAAATTAGTCCGAATTGCCCCTGGAAGACATAGCCGCCTTATATGTCTCACGGACCACTTACCCAAATCTGTCCGAGCTACCCTGGCCCTATATCCGGAAGATATAATGGTTTCATTTTTTATAGGACCAAATTTCCCGAAATATTCTAGATATTTTGGGAAAATCGTAATTATCCACCATTTTCTCGAAGTATTCCGAAACCGCTTTTCGTTAAGCGCTTGTTCGGTCTGTCTGCTTATTTCTTTCTCTGTGAGTATGATCGTGCGTATTTGTCTACGATTGTTAGTTAGAATGTGTTTTTGTTGTATGCTCTGATTTTGTTACTCTCCTGCCATGGGTTTCATCTCGCGCGCTGCTAGAAAGCAGCGGGCCCCCGCTAGTATATAATAAATATAAAAACAAAAATATTATGTATTTATTTAAAATCAATATAAAAGATTGTAATATTGTGATATTGCAAGCGATTTTATTTATTTAACTATTTCTCAATCTTTTTTTAGTTTCATGTCATTATTCCCTTTGTAGCACGATGCAGCGCAAGAATTCTTAGCACACTCGGAATCGTATGATTCTAACCAAATGACCCATTCCTTCTAGCATCTTTCATCGTCCCTACCTTCACCCCTGCTTGTGCCCACGTTCTAAGGGAAAGAAGAGACCAACTCCCTTATTTCACCCAAGATTACCCAGGTCAAGGTCAGAAAGGGATGGGCAAGGCAACAAAAATCCTGGAAAACGAGGAAACGGCGCAAGTTGTCTTTATGAGGACGATGCACAAGGATAGATATTAATGGGTGGGAGGTGTAAATGAGGGGTAAAGCGCATTTCGGCCCATACGTCCCAAGCCTTGCTTTTTATGTTGGATACTCAGCTGGCCAAAGGGCCGCCTAATGAACAGGTGATACTACCGACGTCGCTAATTACATGAAAACTCTGAGGCTTCCCTTGATATGGGGCCGAGTAGCTCTTCAAGCACTTTCTTCCTAGTCCCCTTTGAGGACCCAATTGTGCAAAAGCTTGGTTCGAGGCATCCACTTTTCTGTACCCGACTCTACCCTTCAGGTGTCCCCCAAAACCTCCATGTGAATGTGTCAAACAACGTGACTCATTGGACGCTGCAAATTCAGGTGCTACTCAAGGTTGCAAATACTTCAGAGCTACCGCACAAACGGACTGTTGCCCAACTCACAGTCTGAGTGGTCACGCAAACCATGGTGCCATGGTTCGTGTGAGCACCCTGGAACCAATAGATCTCAAAGCCTCAAATGTTTCGGCTGCGCTCAAATCTTGTCTTCTGCCAAACGGCGCTCTTTGCTGATAAAACCAAGTGTCACACGATGAAGGCGTGCTTCAATACCCACGCCGGGTGGGTTGCCTGCTAATCAGTGCTCAGTGGATTCACGCCAATACCCAACTTGGAGATGGCTGCGAAAAAGAGTACGCAAATTGCCATATGCAAACACAAGCCTCCGGCCAATGGTCTACACGTTCTGGATCGAACCTATCAAATCATGAATTTGCGAATGTGGCATGCAGAACATAGGGCTCCTTACAGTGCTCTCAGCCAATCTGACTGCTTGGCGGACTACTTGCAGCAAACCAACTGAACCAGGAAAATTGAAGCGTGGCCATTTCCAGCTGGAAACCTCAACCATCCTTTCCAGAGATTCTGAGCAGCCGTCAACAGGGATCTGACCGATTTCTTTCTACGATTCACGTATGCTAACCTGCCTCAGCCCGGCTTTGCCGGAAGCACGTGGATGCAACACGGCTGCCCAAAGATAGTCTAATTCAATGGCTGCTTGAAAATCTATGCAATTCGCATAGGCGCAAGCGAAGTGATAACTTCTTGCGACTGGCACCTGACATCTATGTGTGTGAAAATTACCTCTCTCTCGCTCGTCTTGACTAGCAAGGCAACGACAAGGCGCCCGCTGATTTCACGGGCACCCAAACTATGCAATTGCAGGCTATATTATATGCAGGTTATACCCTTGCCCCTACACACATGTGCAGCTCGCGTCTCAAACATGCGCAAGTCAATGCGCAGCTCGCGTCATGCACCTTTCGCCAATCAGCCCATCAGCATGCTCAACACCGCCCCGAGAACGTCGTCTAACACGGTGGCCGCAGTGACGGTGACCTGGTTCATCGCTAGGAATGTGCCCAAGCGCTGCAACATCAATCCCCGAAGATTATGATTGAAAGCATGTACCTCAGGCAAGATTCACAAAGTCGGAACGTTTGTGTTTGTCTGGTTGTCGTTTACCTCAGCAAAAGTCAGGAAAGTAAAAAGGTACAGCAAATTCACAGGAACTGCAAACATGAATTGATTGTGGCGTTGGCAAAGGCACGTCTTCAATCTTGCTCAGCACTAAATCCTTGTCAGCCGGGAAAGAAGCCTGAGCTTCCCTTACGTCCAAGTGAAGCAGATGGTCCACACAATTTTCCCTCGACGATGCGGAATGCACCTTCACAGCCTGGTGCAAATGCAGCTTGTCAGCTTCTACCAACTCGGCAACACACCACACTCTGGTGAGCAAGCCAAAGTCGATTTCCATCGCCACCACCTGCTCCAGGTGTACCTTTAGGGCTCCGGTGGCCCTTGGAATGGCTTCCGTGACTGACCTTCCTTGCTTTCCTGCCTAGTTTGATTTGACCCGTGCTGGCTTAAGTCAAAAACAACAATTTCTCACAACATATTGACAGGGCCGGCCTGCGATTTCTGACGGTGGTGCTGCTTCAAGAATGCCATCATGTCCTTTCAAACGCCAAAACACGTGTCTGAAAAATCTTGTGCGGACCACCAACAATTACTTCTGAATTGAACTGGCAAACCGAAGCAACAAAACGTTGCTGAGCATCTAGGCATCGTCAAACTTGTTCATCTCACTTAAATCTCCCTCAAAATGCTTGGCTGTTGAGCAACTGCAAGCAGTGATTTCACGGCCCGTAGAGTCACGGGGCGGCACTCTGGCGCAAATTCCCGCGTGTTGATTGACTGAAAAGGCGCACACCCAGTACGGAACATCCAGCTTCTTGTTTTGCTGCAACCTGGCGGACACTCCTTCAAAGTCCTTGGACATCAACAACTGCGCAACCATGTCGTAGGTCTCCTCTTCGAGAGCATCCGAGAAAATCGCGCTGATCAAATGGCAGAACTTGTTGCCCCAGCTGTGAGTGACCATCTTCTGCGCCAAACGCGGCCTTCCACCATTGATGCTTGTTGCGTACGCAAATCCCATGGATTTGCTTTCGTCTTGAGCGTCCTTTTCAGTCAAGGCGTGGTCAACTGAAATTGCAAGTGGCACAGGGTTAGGCTTGGCATTCTCCTCCATACTATCTGGGTCTCCTTTCAAAGGCTTGGCGTCGTTTGATTTCAAAATGGTGCACACTTCTTCAAGTGAGTCACGTGGAACGATCGAGGCCACCAGAGCACCTGCACCCAGACGGATGTCTACTTCCGCCGAGCCGTTCCAGAATGAAGAGCTGGGCAAGATGGAGCAAAGTTCTTCTTCTTCTCCTCCTGCCTTGTTCCGTGCAAGTCCCCGCGCTGCAAAGTAGATGCCTTCCTCCAGCAAGACATCTTGCAGAAGGACGGTCTCCCCCCATGCGACAGGTGAGCAGACGGAGCCCCCTTTCCAAGGCTTGAGAAGTGGCTCTGAATCCCGCTGCCCGCAAATACAAAGCGCGCAACGAAAATCAGAGCCGCCTTCCAGGCCAAGAGCTCGATGCACCTGGACCACAAAAGTACGAGCTTCACGCATCTCCCTGGAACTTGGAATGATGGCGTGGCGCACAACGTCGTGCGTTGTTGACAAGTTCGGATCCTACGGTGTGCAACAGGCATGGGGTATAGACACATTAAATGACACTTGAACGCATTTCGCCTCTAGGGGGCACAGGATGCAAAGTTGAGCCGACAAAAGTCTGCTTTAGACATCCAAGGATCGAAGTGTGGCATCATCTGAGGTCGAAACACCAAATCTGAATAGAAATCAAGCAGCTGTCTGAGTGTAAGACCCCGCCCTGCGAGTTCCTGAACTTTCTCCTTCCACACCGATGACTTGTCTGCGTCATCTTGCATCTCAGCTTGAAATCCGCGAAACTGATCAAGATCATCAAAAATCAGGCCAAACTTCCTTACTGTCAAGTGGGAACCTTGAACATGCAACACCTACTTGGAGTCGAACAACCAAGGAAAAGGTTGTCTTGAATGCTCACCGAGCTTCTTTGGGGGTGAGGTAATTATGTGTGGGTGCTTCGACACGCCAATCTCCGAGACAATGCCAGAGATGGTACATGCCAATAATGGCACCAGAAGCACCTTTCGGACCACCACAAGCGTCAGGGAAAACAGCCATTTCCACTCGTCTGCTGGGTCGAGATTTGCAAGGAAGGCAATAATGATGAGCATGTGTAGGGCAGTGAGGCAAGCACCTATAGTCCAGAATCTGAGATCTTTGAACTGGTGAATCCGCAGTTTCCAATACCGATCAGCAGGACCATCCACATGCACAAAGCGACGAAAAGCAAGGCATTGAAACAGGCTGCGTGGGATGAAGTTCAACAAGATGCTGAAGGAAGCTACGAAGGTAAGCCAAAGGAAAGAGGTCTGCTCAATGGGGCAGTCTTCGGGGCTTCTGGCAGCAACAGCGCTACCATCCACAGAGAAGAACAAGGCCACAAAAGCAAGCGATCCAAGGATGCAGTCCATGAAAATCTTGGCACGTTTGGCTGCAGTGATGTGCATGTCAAATTGGTGCATCTCAAAAAGGGGATGTGTAGTGACAAATGTTGCAAACCAGCAGCGGAAACGCGATGCGTGAACCTTCACGTATGCAAAGGGCAAGTTGTCCTTCACACGCAGCGCCGCTGCTTTCAGGCCAGCCGACTTCTGCAAAGCGAGGCTACCTTGGACCCAGCCTTCGGCACCCCATATGTGCTCCTCAATCAAATTTGTGTGCAGTCCGTGTTGCAAGGACGCTTCTCGCAATGTGTTTTGACAAAGAATGCTTTCCTGCAGCTTGCTGTAAGGCAGGGCGTTCTTCAATTCTCGCATTGCTGCGAGCAGGTCAGGAGATGGGCGCTGACTCTTGCTCCTTATGCATCTCATCGTGCGACCTCTGCGGCAACAATTGCTCTGAGGAGAAGCCGGCGTCTCAATGAGAAAAAACTTGGCCTGCCACAGGTCTGATCTGGAAACGTCCCGCAGAACGCCAGCAGCCAGCAAGAGCAAAAAGGCTGCAATCAGACACCACAAGAACAAGGAAGGAAGACGCGTCCACCAGTCAGGCCGCTGTATGATCTCTCGCAAGTTTTCTGTCGACAACACATTGATGTTCGTGCAATCCAGGAGCACATCCACAAAAATTGCAAAAATGGAGAGGTGAGATGTAGCACACCAAGCACCTGAAGTGTCAACACCTCTGAATTGATCAAGCTCCTTTTCCGTTGCCAAGCGTACGCCCTCCCTTGACCAAGTTCCATCTGGAAGCTGATAGGCGCAAAACAATGATGGCTCGGGATTTGTTATCGACAACTTTATGAAGATCGGCTCGGCGGACGTCACGTGGACTACAGACAGGTCGGAGCCAAACAATGAAACGTCCATGGCGTCTGTTGAAAAAATTAAAGGATTGCCAGTACTTGACGTCGCCGAAGCTCCTTTCCCCATGAGATCCTTGCCTGTCTCTCCGTTGAAGGTTGTGATCACTACAGCGCTATAGCTACCATTCTGCAGGGTCTCTGTGGGAATGTATGCAGTCGATACGCTGCTGTCAATAGTGTGCCTAACCATCGCAAAGCCATTTTCTTGTGATTGATCCGTCAATTTTACTGCTGTCATTCTGCCAAGTGGAGTCCAGGCTGTTGAGACATTGTCAGAGCTGAGCTGTGTGACCAAGGACCTGGCATTAATGTCGAGGACCTCAGCAACAAACGCGTCCCAAGATTCTGCGGTGGTGACGGCCATGGTGCTGGAGCGCGAAGTAGTGCTAGAGCTGAAAGTGGAAGTGCGCGAACTAGTTACATCAGAGCTTGAACTGGTAATTCTGGAGGAGCTTGAGCTGGAAACACGGGAGCTTGCCGTAGTAGTGCTGAAGCTGGACGAGGTTGTGATGGAACTGGACAAAATAGAACTGGAGCTGGTCGCGCTCGAGCTTGTTGTTGAGCTGGTTACCGCGGAGCTTGAGGTGGTGCTGCTGCTTGACGCGGTGGTGCTCAAACTTCTAGTTGTGGAGCTGGAGCTGGAGGAGCTAGTCGCAGTGGAGCTTGCTGTGGACGTACTGCATCCTGATGTGGAAGTGCTGGAGCTTGATGTGGTCATGCTGGTGCTCAACGTGGCAGTGCTGCTGCTTGACGGGGTGGTGCTCAAACTTCTAGTTGTGGAGCTGGAGCTGGAGGTAGTCGCAGTGGAGCTTGCTGTGGACGTACTGGATCCTGATGTGGAAGTGCTGGAGCTTGATGTGGTCATGCTGGTGCTTAACGTGGCAGTGCTGCTGCTTGACGTGATCGTGCTCGAGCTGGACAAGGTAGAGCTGGAACTTGAGCTGGTCACGCTAGAGCTTGATGTTGTAATGCTGGTGCTTGATGTGAATGTGCTGGAACTTGATGTGGCAGTGTTGGTGCTTGAGGTGGTCGTACTGGAACTTGACGTGGTAGTGCTGGTGCTTGTCTTGGTAGTGCTGGAAGTCGACCTGGTGGTGGTGGTTCCCTGCAGCTCCAAATACCACAAGTCTGAAACTTCTGCTTCAGCCACGTCCTCGCCTCCGGGAGTTTTCGGGCTCAAGTCCTCCCAACTCTGTTTGCGCATTTCCCAAAAGTCCCGCGAAGTGATATAAGTGCCCGTTTGCACCAAGCACATACATAAAGAAACTATAGGCTTGTATAACAACCTGAGCTTTGATGCCCCCTTCTTCGTTCGTTGTAGTTCTTCCTAGTTGTTGCTTTCGGAGCTTCTTCGGATTTGAAGGTCCAGCTCGAACATCGCAATTTTGCAGTGCACGCTGCAGCGTGCGAACTACACCTCGACAACTCCGGCTACGACACCGCGACCTTGCAGCGTAAGTGTAACTCGCAAAGTGCGCTTCCACAGCTTCAGCTACGAGACCAAATCTTTAAGTGCAAGGGTAGTGCACGACATGCACCTTCAAGAGCCGCACTTTTCCAGCACAAGTGTAGTGCGCAAAGTAAGCTTTGGCAGCCGCAGTTTGCATGAATGACACTTCGGCAGCTCCAGCTCGAAATTTGCAACTTTTCGTTGCAAGCGTAGCACGCACGTACGCTTTTGCAACTGCGGCTGCCGAATCAGATCTTTTCAGCAGGCAGCTCGAGATATTTCGACACAAATGTAGAAAGCAAAGCGCACTTCCCAAACACAATCCTTTTCAGTACGAGTGTAGCACGCAAAGAACACTTCCGCAGCGCTTTGGCAACTCCAGCCACAAAATTATAGTACAAGTGCAGCATGCCAAGTGCACTTCGCCGACAAATCACAACTCTTCAGTACAAGTGACAACGTGCACTTTGACAGCCCCAGCCACAGAATCGTAGCTACGCAGTACAAGTGCAGTACTCAGAAGTGGACCGCTTCCCGCAACTCCAGCATGTCAATTGCAACTTTTTTCAATGCACGTCCGCTATGACAAGCACACTTTGGCATGGGCGGCGTGCGAAGGGCAGCTTCTGCAAAGCAAAGTTCGCGTGTTTATATTTCGATAATAGAGCTGGGGACTGTGGGAGTGCGCCAGAACTATGTCAAGTATGGCTTGTGTGCCAGAGCGCGCCGGCAATGCGCAAAAGTCATCCGAACATATTCTGGAAAGCCACACGTTCTACGTGGTAGAGGCAGCATTCTTGAACTACGCCAGGACTACGCTGGAAATACGCGTTTCAAGACAATCTGCCAATAGTGTTGGGGGGTTATTAGACTTCACTACGTTTCAAGATAGCTCAGTTCCAACCAAACAAAAGCAGGACTTTGATAGACACAGGTTAGCATTTGCCAAAGAGTCGGACAACCGAGTCCGAGTCCTACAGCCTGAAACCGCAGAAGACCAAGCAAAGCCCGGCAAGAAGCAAAACGACGTTGAAGACGTGGCAAAAAAGGCAGAGATAGGCAGAGATCGAATGGAAGTGCGCTTTCTGAGTCTATGAGTCTATGATTCTCTATGATGCGCTGCTGGATCAGAGAATGCGCCTGTCCGACTTTGATGGGGACTCGATCCCGCTCCCAGAAGCGAGACATGGAAGCAGACAGATCGCAACAAAACGCACCCAGCGTCACAAAACTTCAGAACTTGTCTGGCATCTTTCCTTCTCGGCAGGGAAGGGCGTCAAGCGCCTCGGTCACGTGCCTGGACGGTTCTAAGCCCCAGTAGCACAAAGGTGCACAAGGACCAGGAGCTGCGTTTCCGAAGGCTGGCTACGGGATTACCTAGTGATCTTCTGGTGGTCCTGGCGTGCCACAGTGAGTCTTGGGCCAACCTAGTCGTGCAAGAAGCGAGACATGCTAATCCCGAACCAAGCGGAGCCTAGTCGGGTGTAGGAAAAGGCGGACATCCAAGGTCCGGGATCGGTGGAGCTATTTGCGCTCTCTTCCCATTTTTCTAATTTGGGCGGTTCCATACCCCCTTTGCTTGCTACAGTATATATGCAGGTGAATGCACATCAGCGCGCAATGATCATTATCGAAAATTAGACTTAATTCGCGGGACCTAAAAACAGATTCAGGGTGGCCGCGGCCCCCATTTATCAAACAAAGCCAAATGCATGGTCCCGGATATATCCTTTTGCTTGCCAAACGGCATGCTGTTGTTCTGTTTGATCGCCAACCACATGACATAACGCCGTACAAATAGCCGCCCCGACGGATTTCAGCAAATCCATTGTGATTTTCCCGCTTCCCGGCCTCCAAAGAGCCACATGCGATTCTGCGAGTCACGTGCAAAATGAGTTTTCCACCTGAGAGGTGGGGTGGTGTCGGTTGTGATCTCAGTCCACACCTCGCCTCCAGGACCCAGGTAATGCAAGTCGCTAAGTAAGCCTGAGGCGGGTATGGTTAAAAATGTTCGAAGTTTGTCCGTTTGTTCTTTCTTTCCTCTTTTTTTTCTGGGGAAGCGAACGTGTCCCATGGGACTCCCTATCGAACAAGAGGAATCTTGGTAGCAACCAATTCGATCCCTCCCAAGGCAATTTTGCATGCTGCTCCCAAGCGATGCTGGATGTTTTCAGGACATATCCTGTTAAGTAAACTCATTTGTCCATTGAAGCGGTGACTGGGCTGCTGGTACTGCAGAATCTATGAATGAAACCTCTTGGGGGCGTCCCAAAGACGAAACCACCAATCAGAGCTAAGATCCTCAAGGGCTTGCTGAACTGTTTGGACCTTAGGACAAAGTCTTAACAAAAGCAGAGCCAGGCAAGAAACTGACGGGACAACAAGAAGTCGTGCCAGCCCACATCCACATACTCTCAGTTGATCCTCGGACAGCTGCAGAATAGTCCCTGGCTGCAGGAGTGTTGGCTGCTACCACTTGAGTCCACGTTTCCGTCGCCGTGTCCAACACATGTAAGTCACCCAGCTTGGCCCCGCCTACCATATTGCCCCCAAAGACCCACATGCGGTCGCTTGAGTCCATGACAGCAGCATGCTTATCCCTTACACTAGGAAGGGTGCCACTTGCAGTGACCTGGACCCAGTTCTCTGCCACGGTGTCCAAGTAATGCAACGCATTCACAAAATCGCCGTTTCCTTGCGAGCCGCCAAAAATCCACATGCGGTCGCTGGAGTCAATGGCCGCACTATGCTTTCTTCTGCCCGATGGCTTGGAGCCAGTGGCAGAGGTGACTTCAGTCCAAACTTCTGTAACCGTGTTCAATTTGAACAAGTCGTCGTAGAAGAAATGAGCACCGCAGCACAAACCGCCACCAAAGATCCACATGACGTTGTTGGAGTCCATAGCGCTCGCTGTCTGCAGCCGGGGAGGGGGAGTGCCGCCAGTGACGAAAATTTGGGTCCAGCTTTGTGCCACGGTGTCCAGACGCCACACCTCGGCGTTATCCACGCCGCCACTCTTTCCCCCATAAATCCAGAAGCGGTCGCTGGAGTCCATCGCGAATGCAGCGGAATGCCGCGCAGACGGCGCGGAACCGCTGACGCTGACTTGGTTCCATTTGGCCCCCGCCGCCACACCCAGAAAACTCGCAAGCATGGCAGAAACGCGATATGCCATTGCTCACACCTACGCATGCACGACGTTGTAATCACATTGCACTTGTCGCGCCATTGTTCCCTGTGCATCCTGTTCTAAGTTGGCCTCTGCCACGTGGTGTGATGCTGTTGCTATGTGTAGGAGATGTCATTTGCAGCCGCTCTGATTTGCAGCTGGGCGAGACACCAGTTCCTATTTTCCAAAAAGCTCTGCACATTTGAGAGTTTCGCTTCAACTGGGTGATTTGGAGTCAAAGCCACTTTGTTTGTAGACTGGCCAACAACACTACTTAAAATTCCCTGAACGACTACAGCCATGGCTCATTTTCTGAAAGCAACTCCAAGGGACTTCCCAACGCAATCACCTGACAAACATATGTAATTACGCAGAGAACTTGCCTAGAAAGAATGCGGGAGAGATTACCCAAAGAGGTTTTGCGAGAGATGTCCTACAGGGACTGCCCAAGGAGATTTCGCAGAAAACATGTTAAGAGAGATATCACAAGAAGGTTTCACAAAGAGTTTGCCTGGTGAAAATGCATAGACTGCTCAAAGGACATGTTGCAAAAATATCATTCAAAGAGAGAGATTGCTCAAATAAATTACTTTTATATATGTTAGTTCCAAGGACAAGGTATCACAAATACTTACATAGTCTGCGAAAGTGTGGCCAGTTGGCTGATGTGGTGCAACACGGCCAAGCACATATGCAGTCGAAGTGATCATGTTCTGCACGGACTCCTTGTTTTCCGCGATCCATGGCCCGGGGGCCTTCATGTGAAACTGTCTATGTCAGCTCGGGCCTTCATGGCAAGAGCATGTGATCATGTTCCCCTTCATGCTGAAAGGGTACAAACCTGGTACCTTTTGACTCAGGTTGCCTGTTCTGCAGCTCTGCTGCGTCTCTCAGAGTCGCCCTTTGGCTCAATTCGAAAGCTGCCTGAGAGGGGTCCGGTCTATGGTCCCCTTATTCAGGCCATCTGCTAACATGTCCCGAGTGTCCACCCACCAAAGCGTCTCCACCTGCGTCTGCAAGAGTTTACGCAGCCTCAAGGCGTGAATGAGCATGCCCTGGTCGGTGGGCACCTTCACCTCTGCTCCAGACACACTGTCCAAAACTGACCCCGCGTCGATGACAGCATTGAGACGAAGAGCATGTTTGCCGCCTTCGTGCGCTTCCAAGAGTTGCTTCACGTCCCTCACACCCGTGAGGATCTCGGTCAATGCCAAATTCACGTTCAGCGCATGACAGACTGTGAAGCTCTGCAACGTAAGTGCTACGGCAAACTCGGTTTTGCTTCTTCGCCACAAAGTCTATCACTTGCACTGTGTGATCACCGCACCCAAACTGCTGTTTGCTCATGAGCATGATGATCCCACTTCGCATTGCAAGACAATCTTGAGTGTCTGACTTGTAGGCGCTGTCCGACACTGCAACCAACATCCAAGGTGAAGAAACCTTGCGAAAGATCATGCCTGGAGGATTGAGCTTCAAGTACCTAAGCACTCTGTTCAGATCCACCGCACGCTGCTTTGCCGGTTCCTGAAGATGTCGCTGCGAAGCCAACACGTATACTGATATATCTGGACGCGTCTGAACCACCCATGCAACGCCGCCAAGTAAAGAGCGATAAGCGGAGGCTGTCTCGGCATCGACCTTGTCGTTTGCTTCCAACAGCGTAACGCATTCCTCTTTGAGTGGCTTCAGCTCAGACACGTAGTGGTCCTGGCTCAATACGCGACTTCCGTTTGCGGGTCTCATGGCGAATCCCGAGATGAGGGAAGTTGTCACGATCCAGCTTCAGCTGATCAAATTCCCAACTGAGCGTCTCCAGAACAAGCTCAATCTCTTTCTGCAGCCCAGTTGCCTTGAGGTCATCAACGTGGACTGAAAGAAGAACCTGTAATGCGCCCTCCGAAGAATGTTTGACATTCAGCTGATTGTCGGTGCTGACAGGTCTCATCCCTGCTTTTGCCAACACACGTGCCAAAGCCAGATTCCAGAGACGAGGAGCGTCCCGCAGCCAAAACCTGGTTTGAGCAACTCGAGACACTCCTTCGAACTGTCGAAGTCTTCCATCCCTGGCAGTGGAAGCAGAAGTTGTACTGCTGTACCCTTCCTCAAAAAGTTCACGGAAAGTGAGCCCTCTAAGAAAAGCTTCGCTCACATCTGCGGATACCAACTGCCATCCAAACTGAGCTGAGAAGATCACCACCAAGCGTTGACCCCGTGACGTTGTGCCCGCAAAGTTGTCTGTGCGTTGTTGGTCCTTGAAGCCCTGCGCCACAATGTCCTTCCACTTCAAGACCCACAAGCGTCGTGCTTCTACCAACGGCCCAACTCGGCCACCATTGCAGTGCGGCACTTGTCTGCTTCGGCGAGAGCCTCATCCCTTGACAAGATGTGTTCACCCTCTCAATCACCGGATATGCTGACTTGCCGCGTGCATACAGAAATACCAACTCATGATTCTGTTATTGCTGCCAGCGAAGAACGCAGCATGGTTCATGAAGTGTGCGGGAATGACGAGTTCCGGCACCACGCGTCATCGGCTGCTTCCCACTTATCATCATGATTGATGAACCATGACCCTCAACCGTGTCCGATCCGATGGAGGTTGCTATTGAGCCGCCCTGAGGTGTACCAATATCATAACTCGGAACGCCATCAGGTAGTTCTTCGAACCCTGCCGGATGTGAAAGCGATGCATCTGCTGCGGTCCAATCTAGAATCATCTTGACCCTGGATTTGCCTGGGCCCGCACTTGTCGTCGGTGTGGTCACACTTTCACCACGGCGTTGCTCGAAGAGTTCATCCGCCAGGCTGTCAAAACTCCGAAATCGTCCATCTGCGGTGATGAGGAACTGCAAGACACACATTCGTTCCGGGCTGCAACCAGTCAACTGCTGCACGTGCTGACGTTTACATGCAATGGTCCGGGCATAACAGTACTGCCATTCTTGTAACTTCCCACGCGGCCACCAGAGCATGTGTCTCGTCGCAGCTGACTGCTGCCAGTGACTGACATCCACAGCCGAATCGGATGCCGTATGTGCCCTTGATCAAGCACGTTCTCTGCAACGAACAAACCCGCACAAAGAGCATGCGACATCTGTCTGTTTCGCACTGTATCCAAGGTCTCCTTGACAGGTATCCAACCCAGACGCACATGAAAGCCCTGATGATCTTCCACCGCCATGACAAGAGTCGTCAAGGGATTGTGGGTAGAATCTCTAAAGGCGGGCTAACGCCTTTTCCATCTACGGGCTGCGTCAGCGCATATGACTCAATTCCTACAAGACAACATGCCAACCCATGTTTACGTGATGTCAGCCCCCAAAACTGAAGTGGGTTTGGCAGTTGTCTTTCGGCGATGAAGTCCCTGCCTTCCTTGGGCTAGGACTTCCTCTTCTTGCTCTAGGCGCCACGTGTTCGTGGCCAAAAGCCTCATCGTCAGCATATCTGCGGGATTCTCGTTGTGAGGAACCCGCGTCCCCTCACTTTGCTGAGCGACTCCTTGATCAGCGCGACCTCCAAGGCAGCTCGGTCGTCTTCTCCTTGCGCTTGCCCATTCTTGACGGAGTCGAAGACTGACTTGGCATCGGTGACCGCGATCATGGATGGGTCCTGAAATGTTGGATTCTCCGAGGCGATCACCGACGCTTCGCCTTGCAGCCCTCCATCGTCCTCGATCTCCAAGCGTTGCCTTGGGCTGTACCGGGAGAACCTCAGCGACTCCAGCATAGCCACCTGCTTCTCCATGGAACCGAGTGCGGTGGACATGCTGATGGCTTCGCAAAGGTTCGTAGACGCCTTTCGGCGAAGCTTCCGAGATCTCCAAGTGATCAGAGACACCGGAGCGACCTTGCCGAGGTTGAGCTGGTCCGTGGTGGCTTGTAGCCAACCATGTTGTGGCTTCGACTTGCCACTTGGGTCGAAGGAGCTGTCGGCGATCAGCAAATGCCGCAGATCCTCTTCTGGAAAGCTGTGGATCTTGAGCTGGATGTTGTGGCCCTTGATCTTCGACACAACGCGGTTGGCCTCCATGGCATCGGCGACCGATGGCGTCGGGAAGCATCCAGCCAGAATGCTAGCTGCTGCTGATGCGTCAGGACGTCCCTCACGCGCAACCCAGTTGATAAACTTCTTCAGCATTTAGTACCTTGTCCTTGGCCTGGCACTTCAAGGTCTTGCTCTCGAGACGGACGGGTTTCAAGCGGCTCTGGATGTAGTCCCGCATTGTGACGCTGAAGGAAAAATCTGCCTCTTGCCAAACTCGTCGTCCAGCAAATCCAGTGCCAGCGGCATCACTCTGCAACTCCACGGCTTTCCCGAACTTGAGCATTGTTTTCAGCGCACTCATCCGGCGCTGGTGTTCCACGTTGCCAGCCTCAAGCACGTCGTCCACTTCTATGACGATCATCCCCCGCGTAGCTGCGTTCGCCTCCCGGCTCTCCGAGTCCAGGGTCAAAACACAGCGATCAAAGCAGTTGATGCGATAACCCAGCTGCTTTACCAGGAATTCCAGAAAACTACGTCTCCACCATGCTGGTCCACTGACGAGCCCGTACACCTCTGTGTTGAGCACAATCAGCTGGTCGTCGCGGTAGCCCTCGAAGGCCTCGTCTCCCGGCCCCCAGCTCCCAGCCCGCCAGCAGGCTCAGCCCAGCGTGCCAAGGTCAGGTTTGTCTAACGTGTCTGAGACTGGCCTCCGGCCGGCAGTCTGAGACTGGTCTCAAAGTATGCCAGCCTGAGACTAGCCTCAGGCCCAGTCCCTCAGCCCGCCTGCTAGTGTCTTACGTGTCTGCGACTGGCCTCAGGCCCAGCCCAGCCAGCAACTCGCCACCCAGCCTCAGGCCCAAGTGTGTATGAAACAGGCCTTCAGGCCCAAGTGTGTATGAGACAGGCCTTGCCCATCCAGCGACCCGCCCAAGCACAGCTCAGCCCAGCCCGCCCAGCCAAAGTTCCAGGCGCAACCAACAGCGTAGTCCGGCTGCCCAGCAGCCACTGAGACTAGCTTCAGGCCCAGCCCAACCAGCAACCCGCCTAAGCAAACCTCACCCAAGCCCACCCTGTTTCAGACTCGCAGGCCTCAGCCTATCTAGCGCCAAGACTGGGCCTCACCAACCTGGGCTCAACTAGCGTTTAGCCCAGCAGGCCTGTCTGACGTGTCTGAAACTGGCCTCAGGCCCAGCCCAGCCATAGCCCAGCCCCCTCAGTGCGGCTGCCCAGCCCGCCGTAAACTAGCTTCAGGCCCAGCTCAACCAACAACCCACGCAAGCAAGGACCAGCCAAGCTGCCCGAGACTGTCCGAGCAGGACGGCTTCCGAACATCGAACTAGCACGGGCGAACTGGTGCGGTCACAAGCTTTCAGTAGGATTCGGACCTTCCCAACACTGGATTTCGGTGTTCCTGACCCTTCCCTCAAACTAGGCTGGGCCGAGGCGGGCAACGCGAAGCGTTTACAATAAAATTGTGTGTTTTGTTGTTATGTTTTGAGCCAAGTGACCTTCATGGGCATAAATAGCAAAGCTTTGCAGCGGTGCTCTCGCGCCATAGTGTATAATATATCTGCCAGGGGGCTCCAAGAACCGCAATCTATTAGACCAGGTTTTTCTTGAAACAGATCCAACGCCGCTGAAACTCCGTAAGGCTGCACCACTGAAACCTTTGAGGCATCTCCCCACCCCCCACCCCCCCGCCCAAGGAAAACTTTTGGGGTCAACTGGCCAGCAGTGCCCAGAGTTGGGCTCACGATGTTTGAGTTGTAGAAGATGCTTGAAACCACGGCAATGGCTGGTCTTTGAGCCATGTTGCACAACTCGCACAGGCTGAGTCTTCCCCGAACAGCACGGCAGCTTTCGCCACCTGTGACCGCTGGCGGATGCTTCCGACCGCTTGCAGACGCAAAGCATGCTGACACTGCTACGCATTCGGACATGAATCCATTCTTATGTCTTACCCTCTTCCCAAGATCTTTTTAAACAAAGTACCGTCACATCCATGCTATCTCCAATGTTACCACCTTCTTCCCAAATCTCAGTAAAACAATATGTAAAGTCTGTCAAAATTTTCTTCGTAATAAACGAATCAAATATAAACATAGATTTCCAAGACACTTAAAACAATACATGTCAACAACAAGCTCTTCATAAGTATCATTCACAATTCATCCGAAACATTTACAAACATTTATAAGCAAATCTTAAACCATGCTATGATACATAAACAACAAAAACACGACGACATACCAAACAGCCGATAAAAAATGCCCAGCGAAGAAAAACTATGCCAACCTAACCTTTGTTGCTTGTTAGCACGTACCTATGCCGGAAGCAGCCCCCAAACATGTTAAACAAAAACAAGAAGGACCGTGCAAATTTGGCATCCATTGTCTCACTTGTCCTTTTTGATTGTACGGTTGTAAAAAAATGCTGGATAACAACCATTTATGCAGCCTTTCTATATATTGCATGTGTGCCATTTGTGACACATCTCTTTGACTTTAGTCGTTGGCAGCGTTGCACCAGGACCAATTGCACAGGTGTCAATGGTCAGGCGAGTCTTCGGTCAGGCCATACCTTGCACGCGCCCCCCGCCGCCGCCCACACTTTGGAAACGGGGATGGGGCTACAACTGTGCTTTCCCGGTGCAACACAAGAATGCTTTTCTCATCCTGACAAGAGCTTTTCCTATCCATAAGAACTTCTCCAATTTCCCACGCACAAGCAAACTTTACCAATCGAAAAGTGCTTTTCCAGTCCAAACGGATTAATTTTTGCTTTTCCAATGCAACAGAACGCTTTCCCAACACAAGTTTGCTTTTCCCATGCACATGCGCCTGCAACAATCGAAAGCTCATTTCCGAATGCTGCTCCCATCAAAAAAGTGTGTTTTCCAATGTAAAAAATAATTTCCAATCGAAAAGAACAAGCTTTCCATCAGAAAGCTGTGTTTTTCCCATCCAGAGGAGCTGTTCCCATCCAGAAGAAAGCCTTTCCCATCCAGAGGAAAGCTTTTCCACTTTTCTACGCACGATTGTGCCCCCCAAGAAAACCCATCAACCTGGTGGTTTCCTTGAACCAAAGCCTGGCTCCATTCCGTTTCACATTTTCACCTGCGCTCTGTCTATGCGAGGCCTTCCGCGGCGCGGCTCGTTCTGAGGATCTGACTTGACCACCGCGGCCTTGTAGGTCTTGGTCTCAAAGGGCTCGAAGGCCTCCAGCATGTCCCACTGCCTTGGCTCGAAGGTCGACGCTGGCTTTTTGAAGAAATAGATAGATAGATTAGATTAGACTAGACTAAATGAGATTGGAGTGAATAATAGGAGAGGTGGGGAAACTAGGACACAGTGGATAGACGGGATAGATGGGATAGAACGAAAGAAGATAGATGGGATAGATTGGATTTTAAGCGCAATAGTTAGATAGGTCGATCGACGGACAGACAAATAGACAGATTGACAAATAGGATTAAGTAAGTTTTAGAAAGGTTGGATAGATAGATACAAAGGTAATGTCGGCCTATGACAACTCAAATCTTAAAAGGAGGCTAGCAATACGAAACCAGTTGAAACTCAAATCCCTCAAGTCAAATCTCAAAAGGGGGTTCCAGCAATGCTAAGCCAATTGGAAACTCAAATCCCTCAAGTCAAATCTGAAAAGGAGCCTCCAGCAATATGAAACCAATTGAAAACTCAAATCCACCAATATTAAACCAATTGAATACCCGAATCCAATCTCAAAAGGAGGTTCCAGCAATACTAAATCAATTGAAACACAACAAACCCGTGAGCAATTCTTAGCAATTTGAAATCAAGTTGGAAGAACCATTTGGAGACAGAGAGAGAGAGAGAGAGAGAGAGCGAGAGAGAGAGAGAGAGAGAGAAAGAGAGAGAGAGAGAGAGAGAGAGAGAGAGAGAGAGAGAGAGAGAGAGAGAGAAGAGGATGGGAGGATGGGAGGATGGGGGGGAAAGAGACAGAGAGGATTGGAGGACGAGGGAACACACGGGGGAGGAGAAAAGAGAGGGAGGAAGAAGGAGAAAAGGGAAAGGACAATGTCGGCGGACCGAGCCGGAGGCTCTAAAGTATAGAGATAGATTAGATAGGTTTCAAATATAGGTTGTTACGTACCTACATATACACATACATAGCGATATCATGCACGTACATAAGTGAACGCATGGCCAGGACTTCTGTATTTATGCATGTATGTCTAAACGTAGAAACAGGTATGTGTTTTTTCGGATTGGATAGAACAATATGTTGATCGATCAACCTACTTGTATGTACATATATATATATATACAGATGTATGTGTGTATGTGTGTATATGTGTGTTAGCGCCCGAGCCAGCCATGCCTAAAACCGTGTAAGCCTGATTGGTTTTTGCATCCCATGAAGCCAGCCAGCTATTATAGGAGCTGACTCACCCAAAGGAACCGAGTCCGAGATCTTAGTCGACCTGGTAGAGATGGAATTTGTTTTCCGATTCATGGGCCCAACAAAGCAAACCCGCAATCAAAGCACACCCAATGGCCCAAAATGATTCATCGTTCAAGGGCACCCGCACTGGAACGTGCCCAACAATACATTCATCATAAAAACGGAAATTAGAAGGACGCACTGATTACGGTCATCCTTCAAGGGAATCTACAATTGAAGTATAACCTATGGCCAACATTATTACACTCATCGCTCCAGGGACACACAACCAAAGTGAAAACTCAGCTACAGTTGTCCCAGTACTGGCTTGCAACTGCAAAAGCATCACTTTGTGCTCAAAACTGACTATTTCGCCAGATTCCGATGGTTTGATTGAACCACGGGTCATTCCTTCAAAAGAGCCAGCTGGTGCAGCCAGAAAAGCCAGTGCTTGCGTTATAGCGGGGAAATACCTAGGCAAGCAGCAAACCGTTGACTACCTTTCACACTGCTGTCAGTGATCTTGAAGTGTATGGCAGGCGGAGCATACACATGCATAGGGTTGGAACCTGAATCCACACCCCCCTCATTTGAGATGGTACAGCAACGAAGATGTCAGCAGGTTTTGCAACCCGCTATGATTGACACTCATCCGTGGCACATTGAAAATGGACGATACTCATCCGTTGCGCCCACACATTGCTACCGTCTCTGAGAGGTGCTCCTTTATTGTGTTCTATGCCTTCACCATCTCCCGCCAGTTGACCAGCCACGCGAACTCCACGAAGTCCATTCCCAGTTGCTCCAGCTACGGTCGCTCCAGTTGCGACCGCTCCAGTCCCTCCAGCTGCGGCTTCGATGCGTTGCGGTGGAGCTGGATGCCGGTTGGGTCTGTCCGCGGGCGCGGTCTTCAGCGCTCTGTTTTTGGTTGCGCTGGTGCAAGCCTCTTGGCAGCGTTCATTGCGTCAGTGCAGGCTCCGGCTGCCCGGAGCGTTGGAAACTTTCCACCAAATGTGACGAGGTTCCGCATTCCCGGGAGAATGTTCACCTGAGCAACGAACTGGGCCAGGCTCAGCATCTTGCGGTTGTAAGAAAAGAGCCAAGGGAAGGCATGAAGGTCAGCGTCGTAGTCGCCGTAGTCGCCGCTCTCGCCGCCACTCACATAGACCGTATGGACATAGTGATGGCCCTTCTTGCCGTACCCGGGTCCGACTCCCAACAGCCTTTGGTCGTAGGTGCGGGGAAACTCGGGGAGCACACAGAAGCGAAAGAGCGACATTTGGAACAAGCTCTCTCGATTGTCGAAGCGGTCCACGACGTTCTCATACCCCAACTTCCTCGCCCTGCTGTCGTAATTCTTCGAGGCCTCGATCTGCCTTGCCTCGAAGGAGGTGCGACGTCAGTATACCCTTTGAAGTCGCCAATCATGAGCTGGTTGGCGGACTTCCCCGCTCGATGGCATACTTCTTCCAGCATCTGAGTCCGTCTCTTCGCCGCCCGGAACAGTTGGATGTCGCTCGTCTCCTTTGTGCCATGCCCGCAACGTTGGCATTTCAACTGCCCTTGCATCATATCTTCTCCACAAGCATTGCAGTCGGTATAGCGAATGGGCATGGCAAAGGTCTTGAACCTGATGGCCGACGGAATCAGCCTCGGGTTGCCCCGGGCGAGTTGAGCTTGCAGCCGTGTCCTCATTCGTCTGCTCCTCTTCGGGGTTCTTGGCCCTTTTGCCATCCTTGTCGGTCTGAAAGGCCTCGTCCGATGTCACGATGACGGCTTGCCTTGCGGCAAGCGATTCGACAATCGTCTGATTTTCCAATGCTTCCAGGCGATGAGCATTTCTCCATAGGACCTCGCCGGTTTGCGCATCCGTGGAATAGAGGATGGCATCATTGGGGACAATGTCGGAGGTCAACATGACGTCGGATTCAGAAAGGGAAAATATGACCCCAAGCTCAACCGCGTAATTGAAATCGACCACCAGCTCGATAGGCATGGTGGCGCGAACCCCAGCATTGTAGGCGGAGCCCTTGACGGGGTGAATAGAGACATGGCTCTGCGCACGCCCGCTCTCCGTTGCTCCAACGCCACCTGGGACGACTCCCGTCCTCACGATGCTGTCCGCCGCGGCCTTGCTGGTGCGGTGGTACAGCTTGCCGGGGGCATCCTTCATCAGCGAAAGCGTCAGTCCGGCCTTGCAGGCATCCTCGGGGAGATGATTCCCGAAGATTGCCTTCGCGAGGGTGTACTGGTTTCGGCTGATGTCGCCATCAGCATTGACGCTGGCAGCGTGGCCTTGGCTCGCACGAACCTTGATGACAACCCGCTCCTGGTTGTTCTCGGCGGCCGAAGGATGCTTGATCGCGAGGACCGTGAATCGGCACTTTGGGTCACTGGTGAAGATCTTCAGCAACGTCTTGTACCCGATGTTGCTCTGGGTCTTCCTGTTGAGCTGATGCACATCAACGAAGTAGTCCTCGTCGAAGTCCAATGGCCGACGGTCTTGAAATCGGCCCCGCAGCATCAGTCAACGTAGTACATCTGTCCGTCGAGGAAGGCTCTTTCTTGAGGAAGGTCGGCGCTTTCAGAATCGTGCCGGGGAGAATCCTCACTGCCGGCAGGGGTCGCCCCCCGCACATCCGACGCCACCGCTTTTGGCATTCGTTTCGCCAGTACCTTAGGCGATGCTTTCGCGGTAAACTTGGGTGTCGCCGGAGCGGCCTTGACGCCAAGCGCAGCCTCAGCGGCACTCCCTTGCGGGAGTGCTTCATCGTCGTCGAAAGCAATTTCTTCTTTGATCTCAACCTCCTCAACCTTCTCGAGCGCGCCCCTTTGCCAGCTTGATGGGGCGCTGGAGGTTCTCCCATGATTGAAGCGTGAACTTGACATTCGCTTCGTGCTCCGCCAGGGTGATTGGGTTCAACCCTGCAACCGCATCATGGGAGTACTCGGCGTACAACTTCACATTGTTGAAGTCGTCCTTATGAGCCTCCGTGACTGCAACGCACTTCATCACACTGAAGAGCGACCACAACCACTCCACCGTCGTCTTCCGATTCTCGATGGAGTCCATCATGTGGTAATTGTCGAGCCTGTCTTGACGTGCTACCAAAAAGGTCGACTCCTTCTTGCGAAGGAGCTTGTGCTTGCCGAGTGACTCATCAAGCAACCTTTCCATGAACTGGTTGTAGATGGGCGGGAGCATTAGTACGAACCCTCCGTGTTGGTGAGGATCGCGAGGTTGGCAATGCTCCACCAATTTCTGCACTCCTCAAGCACGTCGATCGCCTTGGCGCAGTTGTTGAACAGCTCGGGCCAGTGGCCATCTCCGCATTGGAAAGGCCACTCCGGCTCGTCGCAGATCCCACGCTGCCAACGAGCTCGTTCCCGGACCAGTACACCGTCACGTAGAAGTCGTGGTCCTTGAACTCAGACCGCTTTTTGAGCTCCTTCATCGTGCTCTTGACGGTCCATGCGGGGGACGTGAGATCCTTGCCCCAACACATCTTCACCTCGCAGTGGCTACAAGCGGTGCGGCGGTTGTAGTTCATGTCCTGAGCGAGGTCCGCTCTTTTGCGGTTCCTCTTGCCTCCGCTGATCAAAGCGAGGCTGGAGTCGCTCACGACGAGGTTGCCCCGGGCGTGATGCGGCCAAGGCCTTGTCATGATCTCCGGCGCATAGTCAGCCGCCCACATAGCGCAAGAACTTTGCAGAGTAGCTTGTGCACTGAGGATCTGCTCCATTGTCTTGCGTTCCTCAGGCTTCGTCTCTTGGAACAAAGTGTTCGATGTGAAGCTCGTCATCACTCCTCGCCA